CAGTATTAGGAAAAATAGTAAAACATACAATAAAAGTACACCAGTAAAAATTCACTTTTTCAACTTGAGTAAAGAACGTCATACATACTGTTTACACCGTAACCTTCTTCATCAGTTGTTTGCCAACACAATCTTCTGACTAATTGTTAAGATATTCAAACTATTTCTGAACATGGAAACCTTTCAAATGTTTTAGCTTACGGGTATATACAGGAATGCAAAATCATAATTCAATGCTATGCTTAGCTTACCGAAAATAAGATGCAGCGGAATATTTGCTAACTAGAGTGGGAAGAATTCAATACAGTATAGTGACTGAAAAAACGAGAAATGTTCTTACTACGGAAACATGAGCAAAACACACTTATTTCTAACCAACTGCTACTGAATTAATGTATTATAAATCGGATGAATGTTAGAAGCGGGTATCTTTCTAGCATATCTGTCAACGACGACTGACTGGAGAATAGGGGGAAATAAAGCGTTTAGAATGTGAGAAAACCTGGAATCGGAAGTGCCATATAAAATAATTCAAAGGTGGTGATCTGAAGGCCTAATTCTTAAACTTTAAAACTTAGGTTACCTTCCTCATTATTTGGAGGAATATTACAGAACGAAAAATGGTTAAACCTTGTGTTTTCGAATTGTTAGCACACAGTTGTTTGATTATCTTTTATCACAAGCTTACAGAAAGCCTCATGCTTCACATTACTTTCGCTAATATGTGTTGAGTATAATGAAAAGAGACATATTCATAAAAAGACAGATATACAAAATTTATTGGACTATGAAACAGCTATATATTGCGAAATTGCCATTACTTTAGGTGCTTATCAGTTTGTCTGTTTGTGTGAACTTTTTCACAGATCTTAAGGTACAAAAATATGAGAAGGTTGGAAGCAAATAACTGCCGGTTAAATCCTGAAAGCCATAAAAAAAGATAGGAGGATTGACCTAAGGATAGTTGTCCAAGTATATTTTCTGTTAACATATGTCGAACCACTCATTTAGGAAGCTTATAGGTAAGACTATCCATTAAGTTTGTCTCGTATAATCTTTTGATTTTCTGCGGTCTGTTCCCTGAATAAATTAGACACAGAAAGGCTCAAATTGGTCTTCATAGTTTTCAAGATTTATGATCGAATTCCCTAAAATATCACACAAAATGCAATGCAAGAATGTTTTCGAATAAACTACATTCGTATTAAACATGTTCACTTTCTTTGTTACTCTAGGGATGTTTTATAAACATTCCACACACAAATTATTATTATTATTAGTCTCTTGGGTTCCTAATGGAACATAGGGCTTCAGTAACACGTCTCCATTCCAATCTCTTATCTGCAAACCCTTCAACCTGGCTCCATGACACCCCACAACCTCTCATCTCCTCCTCGCACCATCTCCTCTATGTCACCCTCACCTCCAACGCCAAACTCGTCACTTCCCATCTGGGTTCCACTCGACCACCTGGCCTGACGCATAATGTCCCCAGTCGGCATTCTCAGTGTATGCCCAATCCAATCCATCTACACTTACTTCCACTGAATACTTGTTCACCGATATGCTCTTGGTTGGTTCGTCACCAGCCAGTTCAGTCAGTTCCTTGTTGCTTATTCTTATTATTCTGGCAATCCATCTGAGATTCAGTAACGAGCGTGAGTAGGCGGCAGTTGTTGATGAATGTCTGTAGTTTGTTGGAAATGCTTTTCGTAACGCACCAAGTCTCTGAACCATACAGGAGCACTGACTTGACTGTGTTGGTTTTGAAAATCCGAATCATGTTCAGGCTTTGTGCTGAGTGGAGTGCAGAAGATCTCCACACTGGTTTCAGGTTAATGAACGCCTGTATTGCTGTCTTTCCGATCCTGGTTGGCTTTGACATCCTCGTCTGTGCCTGTGCTGCCTGTAGTTGAAACAGTGCTTCCTAGATAGGTGAGTGGGGCTACTTCCTTTAAGTTTCTCCCGTTGATGGTGATTGCAGCTTGTTGTTGTTGGTGTTGTTGTTGTTGTTGGTTGTGTATCTTCATCACCTCTGTCTTCTATATATTCACCTGAAAGAAGTCCTGTCTTCGCTGCCTCTTCTGTCAACTTGTTAGTTTTCACCCGTAGATCTTCAAGTTTGTGTGACATTATACACAAGTCATCATTGGCGAAATCCAAATCTCCTAGGTTCTTTTCCCCAGTCCAGCCAATGTGTGCCCCTCTTCTTGCTCCTCACTGTTTGTTGCATGATCCAGTCCAGTCAACCACAATCAGGGATATCATGAGTGATAGTAGACAGCCTTGTTTCACTCCTGTCTTCACTTCACTTCAAAAGCATCACTGAGCTTCCCATTGTGAATTACTTGGCATATGACATCGTTATATAGTTGTTGAATGAGGCGGATAAAGGTTTGAGGTATTCCGTAGTATTGAAGCAGTTGCCTGTCAACTCACCTCTCGGTCGACGCTGTCAAAGGCCTTCTCAAAGTCGATAAAGTTGAGTTAGAGAGCTGATTGCCATTCTATGCTGTGTTCAATGATGATGCGAAGCGTTGCAATTGGATCCGCACATGATTTGTACTTCCTGAAGCCTGCATACCTGTTCCGGTCGTAGTTTTGAATCCAGTGCATCCTTTAGCCTCTCCAGGATGATGCAGCATAATATTTTGCTTGCTTTGGGTGGACAGGAGAGTGATTCGGCGCCAGTTCTTGCAAACACTGAGGTCTCCCTTCTTCGGCAGTTTGACGAGGTAGCCCTTCTTCCAATCAGTAACCAGCTACCTTCTCTTCCTTCCACATCTTCTGCAATAGTGGTGTGGTGTGAGCATGTCTGCTGTTGTCTCTACGTCTGTTCTCAGTGCTTCTGGTGGGATCCCATCTGGTCCTGCTGCTTTCCCGCATTTCAGTAGCTTTATGGCGTTCAGGATTTCCGCTTTTGTTGGAGGATTTATGTTCACTTGTAGTTCTGTGGCTGGGCTGCATGTGGTATTCCTGGACGAGTTGCAGGTGATAGTGGTGGTGGTCGATTCAAGAGCTTCTTGAAGTGGTCAGCCCATTGTTTCCTCTGTTTCTCTTCTTTGGTAATTAAATTTCCTTCATCATCTTTTATTGGTTTCGTCTGCGTTGATCTCTTCCCAGATAGCAACCTGGTTATTTGATACAATGTTGTCAGATCTCTCTCTCCTACCAGCCGGCAGCCTGTTCTGCTTCACTTGCCAGTGTTTCGTAGAAGTGTCTTTTGTCTTTCCGTGCACTCTGCTTCACTTCTTTGTCCAGTGTTTTATACATTGTGCTCAGTTCCTCTTGTCGTTGAGCATCCTTGCGAGGTTCGATACACAAATTGGATTACAAATATTCAATTTACTTTACATGATATGAATTACTTTTGATTCAAATAACAGTGCGCTGCTTGATACAAGTGAGTGAGAAAAGAGCATTGTAACCAAATCCACACTAACTTAGTTTTTGGGCGAAAATAATATGTGATGGATTGCAGTTGGCAGTAGAACCTATGACACATATTTTGTCCTTTCTGAGACTCAGCAGCTAGGTGTGCTTGCCTCACGGTGAACGATATTGTTTCTACTGGAACTCGAATGCATTACCCATCGCTTTAACTTACCGAGTATTATATACTAGGCTGCCAAGAGTACAAAAGTCATACGATCAGTATAGTCGAATGTAAAGTTTTGTACTTTCTTGTCAAGGTTGTCAGCTATTACTGGGAGGTAGGCTTCTATGTTGATGCTTATATAAGTAGTGTTAGTGATTTTAGTATAGTGGTAATGATTGACTGCGGCCAGACTTGGAAGAAAGTACAAACAGCTGACGATTTCTACCTAAAGAGAACGAATCATGCGTCCTTGATTTCACTCTTAGCTACCATTATTTTCAAATGACTACTTGTAATGTATAGGTATCCACAGAGGAACATATATCAATAATGACTGATCTGTAATACCAAAAAATAGTGTTTTGAAATGATGCGATCTCTTGTGCTCTACAGGAGACTGTAAATTAAGTTTTTAGATAAATTAAGAAAAATCTCATCAAATCGTTAAAATCTAAGAGGATTTCATCATTTATGAAAGCACGTGAACAGCTTAGTTACATTAGAGGCATGTAAGCATACAAAAATAGCATTTGATACTTTTTACTCTGAAGTAATGTGATCAGAAAAAATCTATTGCTTTTTAACCCTAGTTCAATCATTATTTTTTTTATTCAGCAGATCTTTTAAAACTGGAAACATGATCTTGGCAAGTTAGTAAATGATTGTATCCCAGATGCATGCATAATCTTTTCGTTGAATGAAAATGTTTTGATTGTAATTAGTTTTTTTGACGAGAAATTGCTTTTGTTAGGTGAATGTTAGTGGACTAGTGACTGAAGACTGTGAAATATGATAGGAATGCATCACCTTATTTGAAAATTTCTCCCAAACCACTAAATCATTTTGTCTAATGGTTCAGTCTTTTCGAAATCGTGAAGTGTAAGAACATCACCGTTGCAGAAAGAGTAATCGGAAATATATATTTATGTAGATTTCAAGAATTTGAACATACAGTTTGTGATTATGATCTGTTTGGTAGCTAGCATTGGAATCGAGGACACGTGTAGCATAGCAGCATAAAAGCCCCCCCTGCCAACAGTGATCAAGCACCTCGACCCAGTATAGTAGGGAGGGATTATCAGAAAATAGTCTATGTTTGTTATTTACTTGTGGAATATTTCTATATTCCTTCAAGAAAATTTATTAGGCTATCACAGAGCACGTTACTTTACTTTCCATTAATGTGCTCTTAAATTTAAAATAAGCACTTATGTAGGTGGGCGAAATCAGAAATGAAGATATCATTGTAAGCTTTGGTTCTCTATTATATTATTATTATGATTGCATATGCTCGAAAGTATTCTGCCTACAGCTTGAAGGTTACTTCTAAACAATAAAACGAAAAAAAATCAAGTGAAGCAAGGTTATATGAATGAAGTAATGCTTTATCAAATGAACTCACTTCAATTGCTTTTTCATGTGCTTCATACGGTTCATCCAGTCCCCATCTTGCATATAAACTACCAGATTGTAGAATAGCTCTTTTGAAATATGGTTGTGCAATAGGTGATAACCATAGAATCGATACACTTACAGCTCCAGCGGACTCACCAAATATGGTCACTTGATCTGGATCTCCATTGAAACGTTGAATATTTTTTTTACCCATAATAATGCCATATACTGATCTAATATACCTTGATTACCTAAAGCCACTTCTGGGTCTGGTATACTTGAGTTAATGTTCGTACGGTTAGCATCGTAGGAACTGTAATCATTGCTACTGCCAACTAAAGGATCGAGTCGTAAAAATCCGAATGCACCAACACGATATTGCATAGAAACTATGATTACATTTTGTGTAGCTGAAAGTATAGCTCCATTGTATACTTGTAGATTAGCACTACCAGAGGTAAATCCCCCTCCATATATCCATACCATGACTGGAAGTGGGCGTTTACTACTGGCAGCATTTGTAGGTGTCCATACATTGAGATATAAACAGTCTTCACTCATTTCGGTATTATTGATCCACATTCTACCTGCAGGGTTATTTGCATCGAATCCTTCAAAAATATACTGCCAACATGTTGCAGGTAGTTGAATAGCATCACGTACACCTTGCCAACCAGGATGTTGCACTGGTGGAGCAAAACGTAGTTTACCTGTAGGTGGTACAGCGTATGGTATACCCAAGAAACGGTTCACTTTTATTTGTTTCCCATCAATATCTACAATCTCTTCAGTTCCACGAGTTGATCCACCATGTACCAGTTCTACATTAATATATGATTTAAAATTCGAATTTCCATTGATAAAACTGAATAGTAATAGTACTAATGATAAACGAGTAAATAATTTAAACATCCTCTTTGATATATAAATACAATGCAGAGTAATCTAACTACGATGAGTAGTTCAGAACAAATACGAAGAAATCACATTGAAGTTGTATACATATTTATATTAACCAACGGGAGCTAGTCATTTTCATTATTGGAATGCAATGAGTAACGTTCATTTTCTATTAAACTGATATGACAAAATCTAACCAATCAAATTATTGTACACTTTTATTCTGATTGGCTAAATGGTAAACTATTCTAAGTGATGACTTATATTACAATACTTTTAACGAATAATAAGGATATCTGGGTACCATTATGATTACTATAACTCCTTAAATTTAACGTCTTACAAACAACTACTTGACTATTATAAAAGAAAATAATTGATTTTGGCATACACTAACATGAAGATGGTGTTTTAAGCGGCAAAATCCATCTAATAAGGTAACAAATATAACATCAATTTCTCCTGCATAATACAATTACTCTATTTCACGTGGTGTCATAAGTGCTCACTATTTAAGAGTCCTAAACTACGACCAGTTTCAAATTAGTTGATTTCCCAGAGTCATTCTAAGTGAATTGTGAGAATGCTTCTATAATGCTTTACGTCGTTTTCAACTTTGAAAACTTGTTTCCCCTTACTAGCAACATCTTACCAACTGATAGTTCGGATAATAGAACTTAAAAATATATTCCAAGGGAATACAGTTCTCAGTATTAAAGATAATAGGCCAGTTGACCTGTATTTATCCTTGCAGAATATATCTCTGTAGAGATGTTGTTTTCCTTTGAATGCATTGACCGATGGCGCTGATACCACTTGCTTAGCAAGGAGTTCCGGTCACTAACCATTTATTGGGAGAAAAACAATTGTATTAATTTACCCCAAGTTGATTCGATTGCAGGTTTTGAGTTTTCTTGTGATTCCCTCGGAGATAATTAATCCTAACAGGGGAAAAAAGATAGCATATATCAGTACTGAAGTCATTAGTAAGGATACTAAATGCCGGTATGAGATCACCCCATTTCTACAGTAAGACTGTGTGAATAAGTCTAGCAGATCTAGTCGTTTTTCATAGGGCAGATTTGAAAGTCCTGCCATAAGTTTAGTACCTACCCTCTGAACACGCTTAAATATGTCAGCATCCTGTTTTAGACATGCAGTAGCTGCCTGAATGCAGTGTTCCAAGTAAGGTCTGACGTAAATAGAATAGAGTATGCTGGATATGTCCTGATCAAAACTTCTCAAAGCTCTAAAGATGAACCGTAAAGTATGGAATCCCTTTACTGCAGCTGCATTACAAGGTCTAGAGGTTTTCAAATCATACCTTATGATGACACCATAGACTCTCATTTCTAGGACTGGACGTAGAAGTGTGCGATCGACGGAATGCTGGAGACAATTGCTGAGGCCAATGTATTTGCATTTGGACCAATCTACCAGTACATCCTGATTCGCTTGAAATGCATATCTATCAGCATCACTACGTATAGTTCTAGACTTTTATATCCTCAAAGAATAGCAGCACCGAACAGCTGAGCAATTTCGGTAATTCGTTGGCATATAATCAGAAAAATATAGGATCTAGGACTGTTCCTAAGAGAATTCCATTCATCATAGGTTTCCACCTAGACACTGACCCATTAACCCTCACTCTTTGCCTTCTGATGCCTGCTTTTTGAATGGCTAATGGGAAGCTTTGACCTATGGAGTCAATAAAGTCCAGTATGAGGTCGAATATCCACCTGTGGCATCGTATGATTATTGTGTGGTGTGAGTGACAAAGTACTTGCTGAGAAACTCAACGGCCTCACGTTCTGTGGAGTTATGGTGAAACAACAATCTAACGGCCCAGGTTTTCAACAGTTCTCCAGATAATCCAAATTCATTGAGAAAAGTCCTTTAAATACCTATGATATTATCAGAAATTACATTGGCTACATTGTAGACTTGTGCTTGTATCAAACTGCGTTGTAATTTTGGTTCTTAAGGGGAACCTAGAGGCAGCTTAGTGAATACAATTTTATTTCTTGACCAAAGTATTTTCTACAGCTGTGAAATCATGTTTATATCTACTAATGGTGTATTAAAGTTCATTACTGTGTCATTAGCCGAATACTGGATTAGGTTTCTACAGGTCAAACGGGTTACGTAACAATGCACTTGATGTTAAAAGTGATATAAGTGTAGAATCTGAAAAGAAGAATATGGTTTCTAGACGTTAACAAAATAGTTGAATGTGTTCTTGATGGAGACATAGTGGAACTAAGCAACACAAGAGGATAGAGTGTTAAATATTCTGCTTCTGCACACAAAGACCAGCACTGGATTATTAAAGTACTGTCATTGTCACAATGCACACTTCTCGAACTCTGCCTTCTTAGATTATAAATAATTCTAAACATAGTGTTGAAGAAGCTATACGGTATGACCAAAGTTTTACAAATTGGATTGGTGACTAATTATTTACTTCCACAAATCTAAGCATGCATCGCTGACTGTGTATATATAAGACTTTGAAAGATGTTTCAACATTAATTCTGAGGTGGCTTCAACATGTAAGGTGAATGCCGAGCCACCTTCTACCTTGACGTGCCATGCGAGGAGAAGGTAGATTATATTGGAAGAGGGTTCACGGTGGCCAGACGAAAACCTGGCAGCACCACTCGATGAATTCTTTGACTGTTGTTCTGAGCCGTGTAGGGAGATAGAGACTACCTGATTGCCATCTTTGAGACGAAAGCAATTAATGGTTGAGGACTCTTGGTAACGTGGCTGAAAATCGGTCACAATCACAATGGTGCGGATGTCTTCACTCCTTGACACCTTCTACGGCTTGAATATTAACACAAATCTGTATCCTCAGAATATTTGTTCTCTGACATAACTTAGTCTTCTTTCGTAAGAAAAGACAAAATGTGGTTACAGAGAAGCAAAATTTATATTTTCCATGAAGTCATTTACTAAGCCGTACATTCAGGGATATATGTTACAGTGGGCAGAAAGCTGAAGAATTATTTCCGCTTAGGAGGTAGAATATATTGAATAACTAAAGGAAGGTAACTGATACACATTTAGGTTTAAAGTGAGAAAAATAGACAACGGATTATGAAAATAAACTTTGTTATCAGTCTTCTTCTATCTACCATTTGTTTGTGTTCTAATGTGAATTGTTGCAACTTGAAGGGATGCACACATATACGGGGTTTAACGTTGACTTTTCCAGTCAGTCAATAACTGTTTTAACTACCGATGAAGAGAAATGTGTCCCATTTGCACTTGTTAATCTTTCACGCTCCAACAGCTTTGAAGCCACCTAAGTGCAAAAATTTTTCCCACTGCAAAACGCAACCCTTGATTGTTCCTCCAAACGCATGTATGTCCTTATATACATGTAAAAAGTTAAAAAAATTTTGACGTCAATTAATAATTCACGTACTGTTTAAATTTGTACAGAGGCATGTGTTTTGCATTACAAATAAAAAATTCTCGTCCGGAATTACGCCGATAGACACTATCCACGCATAATAGCATAAATGAAGTTACTGGATATATCGAAGCATCCAAAAGGGAATCATCATGTCATCACGGAACGATAGAATTGATAACAGCATGGTGCATAACGAGAGAGAATACAAAAAACAGGGTGGTAAGTGAAAACATACTGTCTCGAAGGCAGCCACAGAGAAGATAAGACTCCAACACGAAAAACGTAGCTGCCGGATTTCACAGTAAACCACTAGCCACACTTCATATTCTTCATGATGAGCGTAACAGAGTCGCCCGTTTCAATAATGGCAAACGTCAATCTACTCCCTAGACTCATAAGCCTCAAACACACTTCCTGATACCTACTGGGAAAGAGACACTTAGTAGCAGGTCGACATTGCACTCTCTTCTCTGAAGTCTCCTCAACCTGACTCAAACACTGCCCACTAGCTTTCATTTCTTCCTCATACGATTTCCTCCATGTCACTCTCGCCTCGGACGCCCAACTCGTCGTTTCCAACGCCGGTTCCACGTGAGGGCCTGAACTGGCGTGTGATGTCCCCAATCGGTTTTCTCAGTGTATGCCCAATCCAATCCATCTTCCCACTCTTCTGCGTATTTGTTGGGCGATAACCTCTTAGTTGATGGTGATTTAGGCTTGTTGTTGTTGTTGGTTGGGTATCCTCATCACCTCTGTCTTCTCTACATTCACTTGAAGTCCCATCTTCGCTGCCTCACCTCTTCTGTCGACTTGTTGGCTCTTGTCTGTAGATCTTCAAGTTTCTGCGACAAGACATTCGACATGCATCATCATCGGCGGCGAAATCCGAATCGTTTTCTGGGGTATTTACATCGGTTCAGCCAGCACATGCCCATCTTTTCATAGCTCCTCACGGTTGGCTGTCACATGATCCAGCCTAGTTGAGTCGAGTCGGCCACAATCAGGAGGATGATCGGTGATAGTAGGAGGTAGTCTTGTCTGAAACCTGTCTTCACTTCAAGGACGTCACTGAGCTTTCCATTGTCAATCACTTGGCATGTAGCATCATATAGCGTATAGCTGTTGAATGGGGTTGATAAAGGTTTGTGGCACTAAAACCGTAGTGTTGAAGTAGGCAGCTGCCTATCAAATCACTTCTTGGTCGACGCTGTCGAAGGCCTTCTCAAAATCGATGAAGTTGATGTAGAGTTGAGTTTACAGCCATTCTATGCTCTGTTCTATGATGATATGTAGCGTGGTGTTGTAATTTGATCCGCATATGATTTGTTCTTCCTGAAGCCAACCAGCCAGCCAGCCAGCCAGCTAGCCTGTTACGGTCGTAATTTTGAATACAACTCATCTTTTAGTCTTTACAGGGTGATGCCGCTTAATATTTTGCTTGTTGGGGACAACGACAGGAGCGTGATTCCGTGCCAGTTCCTTCAAAGACTTAGGTCAGCCCATTGTTTCCTTTGGTTCTCCTCTTTGTTAACTAGCTTTCCTTCAATATCTTTCATCGGTTTCATCTGAGTTGATCTCTTCCCAGATAGCATTTTGGTTATTTGACATGATGTTGTCACGTCTCTGTCTCTACTACCTGCAGCCTGTTCTGCTTCACTTGCCAATGTCTCGTAGAAATGTCTTTTGTCTTTGCGCACACTCTTCTTCACTTCTTTG